ATTCAGAAAAAATATTTGTTTTAATAGATATAGGATTTGGAATTACCTGAGGTGAATTATTCTGGACATTCTGAGTTAATTCTTCAGTTAATGGTATTATCAAAGGCAAATCTGTAGCTACTGGTAATTTTGACATATTTTCAAAAGAAGTTATTAGTTCATTATCATTTTCTATTAAATTTTCTTGACTACTCCCAAAATTTTCATGCATTTTTTCCACCTGAAAAAAAACATCTTCATCCCCTTTAGTGCTATTTTTTTGTAACATATTCTCCTCTTCAGATTTCTCCCCCTTAAGAGAATGTGTATGCACTCTCTCTAAGTAATAAAGTTCTGCCTTGCAAAAAGATGCATCCAAGGTCACATGTAATTTCTAAGTTTGAGGGTCATAACATTGATATCCTCTCTGAAAATCAGAATAACCAACAAAAATATATCTTTTTATACACAGATCAAGTTTATTTCAGAGATTCTTAGGAATGTGAACATAGGCAGTACATCCAAAAACTCTTGATTCAAGATTTGGAATATGTGGAATGGAGAGAAAAGATTGCATCTTTTGTTGTGGTGTTTGGAAATTCAATACTCTGAAAGGTTTCTATTGATTAAATAAGTAGCAGACTTTACAGCCTCACCCCAATAAAATCGATGCATGTTTACACCAAAAAATGATGCACGAACCACCTCCATTATCTGGTTATTCTTCTTCTCTGCCAACCCATTATGTTGCAGAGTATATATGCAAGAGGTGTGCTGTCGAATATCTTTCTGGCTCAAAAAATTTTCAAACTTTGCATCAACAAGCTAACAAGCTCTTTTACGTTGTCAGATTGTCAAACACGAATCTGGCATTGATATTGAGTTCCCACCAAACTATGAAATGTTTGAAAAACTGTGAAAACATCACTTTTTCTCTGAAACAAGGACACTAAAGTCATTCTAGTACATTCATCAATGAATGTAACATAATATACAGCTTTAGATAGAGAAGGAATCTTTGCAGAGCACTAAATATCAAAATGTATGACAATAAAAAGTTCATAGCATTTATTCATACTAAGTAAGTAAGGAATAGGAAGACTTTTAGCCAATTCACAAATATCACAATGAAAATCAGACACATCCAAGTTAAAAAATAAATGTGGTTGCAATTTTTGAAGATATTTAAAAGAAAGATATCACAATCTTTTATGCCATAATCATATAGTTGTTCGAGCTTTCTCTTTACTACTAATTTGACATGCTCGATTAACTCTTTTTGTTCCCCATTTTCTATCAATTCCAAGTAATAGAGTTTTCCTTATTTAATACCATAACCAAGAATCTTTTAGGTCATAATATCCTGAAATACACAAAAAGAATGCCAAAAAATTATTGTGCAATCAAGGGATAAGGTAATTTGGCTCACAAATAAAAGATTATATTCAAGAGATAAGACAATAAGAACTGTATTTAAAGTGAGTGTATTATACAAAACAACATAAATAAGAGTTATACTCCCATTGGCTGTAGATATAGCGGATTGAGAAGATGAGCAAATGGATTATAACTGGTCAGGGTCTCTAATCATATGATTATATGCAATTATATCAATAATCCAACTTGTATTCTTAGAAGTTGTAGAAAAAATATTTATTTGATTGATAATACCTAGGTGACCAACATTGGCTATACGATGCAAATTATCATCCATATTACAATCAACTTCCTTATATGATGTCATCATAGCTTTTCCTGCAATATTTTTCTGTGTTTTCTTTGAGAAATCCCACTATTCAGGATAACCAATGATTTCATAGTATCGTTGTTTAGACTGGCTTGTTTCACCACAATAGTTGCATATAAAATTGGACTTTCCAACGAATTGATTATTTTGAGTTTTTGCTGATGTCGAGGATGATCCATATAGTTTTTGGTTGTTAAGCATTGTTGAGCTTTTTGAGATCACTCGAGAATCTCTCATTTTATGTTGTTATTGGTATTCTTTTCTTACATATGTATATACACTCTCTAAATCCAGTTTTAGATCTTTTCGCAAGATTTCTCCATGAACCTGATCAAACTCATAATCAATTCCCTTTTTAAAAATATGAACTTGAAATCTAGCCATTGCAGAATGCAACTAAATAACACCTTCGACTGTTTTTGCTTGAGATGCAGATCTATGATTAATTTTCTGAAAAATAGCAATAAGTTTATTATAGTAAATAAACAATGGCCTACCATTTTATGTGATAGAAAAGGTCTGGTTTAACTCAAATAGATGGGTTTTATTTGATCTATCATAAAAATTCATTGACACAGCTTACCATATTTTCTTGGTTATGGAAAAGCAAATAAATTACTGTATAAGAGATAGACTCATTGAGTCAATAAGCCAGCTCTTTACTTTCTGATTTTTCGTGACCCATGTTTTGTAAGTGGGGTCTTCGAGTACAAGCTTTTTCGTTTCTCCAGTAAGATAACCAGCTTCATTTCGACTACCAATTTGCATCTCTATGAGCTGAGACAATAATGAGTAGTTTGTCTTATTTAATATGGTACTGATAGGAGATGTAGAGTTATCTTTATGGATGATAATTGATGGTGTTTGGTTGTTGGATATGAAGGGAATTAGTTCAGCCATTTGATTTTACGGAAAGGAATAAGAGATTTGATTCAAGAAGTCCTTTAGGAAGAATGCTACGATACCATGTAAAATAATAGAATTTATAAATAATTCAGGGATATCTATTTTTCTCTATTTAGATGCAATATATAGTTACAACTACATCACAAAAAAATGAATAGAAATTATTACATAAAAAATTAGTTAATCAAATTTTTATAATTATGATACTAATATAGTAATTTATAGCACTAATTTATAATACCAATATAGTAATTTAGCAATTAATATAATAATTTACAATACTAATTTAGTAATTTACAACTCATGTCAGTAGAAAAGAAAATCAAAATTCTATTTTAAGTAGAGACTTAGATGTAAAGCGTACGGAAATAAAACAAATCTCTCTTTCTCACTCGCTCTCACCATCTTTTATTATTTTTTTCTCATTTTTTCTACCTAGTGCATTTTAAAAAATGTGAGTTGCGAACTTATTTATACTTTTACAAAAATTATTATTTTTTAACTCATGAAATGACTTTTTGTCATAAATCGAAGTCACCCAAGCCAAAATATAAAAATGAAGTTTTGGTTTGAGATTTCTTGTCTCTAAAAAGACAGTCAAGGTTGACAACTGAATTTGTTTAGTTAGACTTGGTCTAGTCACTGCATGAGCTCAACGAGTCACTCAAAGACTTGGCCGGACTCATGGGTAGTGATGCAAAAGCGATGAAGCATGTGGGTTGACATGGAATAAAAACATAGAACTCGTGAAAAAAAAAAGATGATAATGAACATGTAAGAAAAGATACAAAAACAAGAGAAGATGATGAAACTGTAAAGAAATGGGGGCTGATGTGAGGGAAGGTGGGGGTAAAAATGTGCTGACTTGCAACGATGTGAAATTGACGTAGCACTCACGTTAATAAAGTAAAA